CCCTGAAATTAGTAACAGTTTTTTGGTTAATGCAAAGCTTTTTAATAAAAAAAAAAAATGAAACTAAAAAGCAAGAAAACAAGGAAAGACCAGAAAAACTCTTGTCACTGAAGTTGAAATATCAAAAGCTATTTCCTAGCCACACAGATGACAAAAGTCCCAGGACTCTACAGTATGTAAAACCAGACTGGATAAATAACTGTTTTAAATGTGTTCCATTTATGGAAGGATCAAAAGAATCCCATAAGCCTACTCTAAGAAGGAATGTTCATATCTAGTATTTTAATTCCCAGAATACTATTAATACCTACTTCTGCTATCTAATTTTATGTCAAAATTTTAAGTCTTAGATTCTAAGAAGGTCTTACCTAGGGACCAATACATATAAAAAGAGAAAACACCTCTGAGCCAGGAATGTTTCCAATCACCCTCTAAAATTAAAAAAGAAAGAGAGAGAGAGACAGATAAGTCTGCCTGCAAAAACATAACCATAACCCATGGGCTGTGCTTATGCCGAGCTAAGCCCCCTGAAATTTCACACAGACATCAGTTTATGACCTCACTGTGTTTGATTCTTATATTCCTTACATTTGATTGTGCCAGAAGCAGGGCCAACACAAGATAAAGTAAAGCAAAAATCTAAGAATTGCCTCTGTAATTTCACCTGTGGGCTACTTTTCTGAGTAACTGCATGCCCAGTTTTGATCTCCAAGTAACGTCACAGTAATAAAACCAAAGCAATTGCTCCTTACACACTCACCTCCTACACTACCTTGACAAAACACAGAATTCGTCCATTACTGATCCTAATAGATATCATTACCTACGTTGTTTTCTCTGGGGAGTCAAAAGAAAGATACAGAGAAAACTCCAAGTGTGATGTTCACTCCCACCCCCTCTCTATTCCCCCTTTGGAAAATTGGTCTGCTCCAAAAGACAGGGAAGAAAACATCAACGGGCTCTCTGAGGAAAGGCTTCCCAAGGCCTGGGATTTGCTGACATGTGGGGAATTACGATGTTGTGAGAACAGCCCTGATGACAGCAGCACTATCCCACGTTGCTCCTAGGATGTCCAGAGCAATCCGAGGGATCATGATAAACTTCATATGTGAGGGAAGAGGGCCCCGCCTGACCCATGGAGCCGCCAGGCACATGAAAGAAACAATATAAACTTGATTTAAATGTGGGATCCTTTCCAGAAGGCTTAATTATCTATTGTATTACCACATTCCCATTATTCAGCAGTCTCTTCTGTCTCAGACTGAAGACCAGCTAGAGTATTTGTTTGGAACAAATTCTGGGGAAACTCCAAATTCATCAGATCAGAGGATTCAGTTAAATAGGGAACAACAGTTATATAAATACAAGTCCCCTAGGCTGGAAAATATTTTGGTCGTCTGCTAACTTTCAGGAACATGGAAGGCAGTTGAACGCGGTTTTTAAACACTCACACCTCCGGCATCCTCGTGTTTACGTGCTGTGTACAGCTTCATCAATGGGGTAAACACGGCCTCCAGTTCTTGACTTCTGGACATTCATAAATCAGTGTTCTACATTCTTGCCTTAAACGCTCATTTGTTTTAGGTAATCAGAAGATAAATTATTCCTAAGGGTGTCATGGTCTATGAGACAAATACTTAATAAAACATCCTGAAGTCTTCAAATGAATGGTTACATGTCCAAGATACCATTGTCAATTCAATTTTTCTTAATTAGAAAAACTTAGTGTTTGACATCATGAAGGTGTAACAATTAATTGAGAGGATGAAATTTTCACATTCTCCGCGGCTGCCTGACACCATGGACACATAGCTAATAAATAATTCAAATGCAAAACTGCCCAACTGCCAGAAATGCATATATGCATGGCAAAAATAAATATGGTAAGTCTGCTGGTTGATATTATGTTTATGACTGTCACTGAAGACCGCACGTTAGCTTTATACTCTTTCAATGAAATGTGTAGAAACCGCATTTGAACTTCATGAATTTTGGAGAGCAGGAGGCTGCCTGTGTTTACATTTTTTGCTAAGTGGTCCATCGGTTACCATGAATATTGTCCTACTACTTAACTTCTGCCTCATTCCCTTTCCCTTTACCTTTCTCAAGTCTCAATTTTTTAAAAAAATCCACCAGAAAAAGCAAAGCTATTTTTATAAATGTAGCTTTTAGAGAGAGAAAAAAAAAGGCTTTCTCTGTTTCATGACTATGATTTAAAATGGAGTTATAACCCTCTGGAGGGTAAACTTCTGGGCACGCCACTTGCCTAGCCCCGCACACTGCGAGGAGGAAGCTGTTGAGAAATACGTGGACTTGGGGGTAAGGACAACACAGGTGGGAAAGTGCTCAGCTAGAAGCCTCCTGAAGGCAGGCCCTGAGACTTTTTCTCACTGTCTTGCTCTCACCCAGCCCAGTATCTTGCATGTAAAACTCCAGAAAAGCTTGCAGGAGAAAGGAATGTGCCTGGAGCCTCATTTTTTACAAAACAAAACCCCAAATCACCTTTCTTTCTTTTCTCTCTTCCAGCCACCACTCTGCAGGCTAACACCCTCAAAATGATCCAGCATGTTAAAATCCTATTTTGTCGGAAGAAGAATGGGATTTGGATGGGGGATAGAGGAGGTGGAAAAAAGGAATTTTTAAAAGGAATAAATTAATCTGAATTAACTTCACAAGCGACTGATAGGCTGGGCACAGACCAGGACTGATGACACTTCAAGAGCTAAAGAGGACACGCGATTCAATGTGCGCGGTGGACAAACACCATGACAGTGGTGCTTCAAAAAATACTTCGAAATTAAAATTAAAATTCTTCACTGTAACCTCAACACCTCTCTGGACAATGCAGCTCACGTTCCTCTATAAAATCTCGGTTCTGGCCAACAGCTGGCAAGTTGATCCCTGCAATTTTCCCTTTGCAGAAACAGCTTTGTGAGCGGAGAACTGACCCCACAGGCTAATAAGCCCAAACGGCTCCAAACCTGGAGGGATGAAATGGAAGGGACATTGTTGTGTTAAGTACTTTACAACAACTGTTTCTTCTCCTCTTGACACAGCCTGACTTCCTTAAAGAAGATTTGACTGGCCAGACAGCTGTGTTGACCCTTAAGCCTTCTTTGATTCATGATTTTTTTTTTTTAACAAACAGAACAGAAATTCACAACTCAAATCCTTCCCTAAGCTCCAATACTTGTGAATTTGCTAGTGTTGTGCCTGAGGATGTGGACACTTCAGTAATCTATAAGCAGAAAGTTAAAGATTGGATTCACACAATAGGCAAACCTGTGGATGAAAGGGAGAGCAGGCGGGGGAAAGAAAGGAGCAATCACCCAGAAGCCTTACCCAAAAGTGACACTTGAAGTTCTGTGGTCAAAATCTGCTTAATTACCTAAAACTTGCACTTTTCTCTCAGACCTTGTACCAACAAACGGATAACCAAGAACAGAGACAGACAGATCTGCTTCCAAAAATGTTAAGCACAATTATCACTTCGTGAAGTGGTTATAAGAGACTTTTCACTTCTTTATATATTTCTGTATCGTCCAACTCATCCAAAATCAAGCACATTTATTTTCGACCTGAAAAAAAGTTATCAATTCTTTCAAAACAACAACAGAGGTCATACTCTCTATCTTGGGGGGGGGGGGGAACTTAAGCATTTTAAGTAAAGGAGTACTAAGTGTCAGAAATAATTTTTCCCCGTGGGCACAAATCAGTGTGTCAGTTTTCAATAAACCTCATAGACCAGATAACACGGAAAAGAAAATATTTCTGTTCTTTCTTTCTGCTTTTTGTTACATTGAGACTTCTCCTGCACATCCCCTTTCATTGTGCTTTTTAATAATGGGACAGGAACTGCTTTTCACTCACACTAACCCTCCTTGGATTATCCTCTTAGACCTCCCTTTTATTCACCAGTGACAAACGTAGACCGCTCCTGGGCGTGCACACGCGCGCCCACACGGCCGGCCGGAATATCCTGGTCTCAATGTTCAAAAACGGAGGCCGCGGGTTCAGCCGCTTTTCTTCCCTTCAATAACCCCACAGCCCTCCCAAAGCAATGCCCCTATTAATTAATCATTTTCTTCAGAGAAAGCATTCCCCTCTCCTTGTGTTCACTCTCTGAGCTCCTCCCGGCCTGCCAGGAGAGAATGGGGAAATCCTTCTACCTCTCACTCCCTACCTTCATCTAGGCGTTAAGCACTACAGAGATCCAGATTCGAAATAATCCATTGTCTTAAATAGCTGCCTCCCAAGTCTCCTCAAAACACATCAGAATGTTGGTGTGAACAGGAGGGAACCGAACCTGCTTCCTGACAGTAGAGTATACCCGGACCAGAACTCAGGAGAAGGTGCAGGCTGGAGGAGAGGGCCTGACAGCCCATGCGTCCTAGAGCTTTGGAGAAACCCGGGAGGGGTGCAGGAGAGGAAAGGCGAACCGATCATGCGCTTAGCTTGGAGTGGCAGCAGCGCCATTTCCGAGCCCAGACTGTCCGGACTCCAGTGGACAAACCCTAGCCGGAAACGCAGGCAGGGGACAGAAGCCCGGTGGGGTCAATACAGGCTCACGGCAGGACACCGCCCGGCACAAGCGCGAGGATGGTAGGGTAAAACCGTGTGGAAACCGACATGGAGACACCTGGCAGCCCGCAGAGCACCCTGAACTACGGGTCCGATCTTCAATGGCTTCTGAGAATGGACAAGTCGGGGAAGGGGTCCGGGAAAACTAAAAACTAGACCAGCAGAACAGGGAGCGGAGCAACCGTGCGCACTTCTGAGGACCTGGCCTGGGGGTGCGCAAAGATCTCTGTCCTGCCCCCTGCCCCGCGCCGCCGCCAGGATTGCCCCAGGCTAGGGTGAAGCGGAGTTCTGCGTCTCTGAGAGCGCTGGTGACAACTGCGCCTTCCAGAGGAGGAGGGGTGGGGGACAAGGGAAGAGTAAGTTGCGGGCACACACCGAAGCTGGTGAGTGCGGAGCGCTCCCGCGGCGCGGACACTTACTTTTCATAGTCATACTTGCAGTAGAGCTTCTTGTCCCTGTAGAAGCAGGTGGTCTCTAGGGGCTCTTTGCAGGAGGCGCACTGCACGCACTGCTCGTGCCAGAAGCTGTCGTTGAGCCGCAGAAGAAACCTGTCCAAGATGACCCGCTGACAGCCCTCGCAGACAGACTTGGGGCTCACCGCTCTGCCTGCAACCGCAACAGACGTTCGCGAGTGAGCCGCCCGGGCCAGCCAAGCCTGCTAGACCCAGCCGGACCCGCTCCCGATCCCTTCACACCCACGGATTCCCCCCGCGTCTCCCACCCCAAGCAGCCGAGACTTGGAAAACCAAACCGAGTGGCATTTCTAATAAGCAGGGACTATGTGGAAAGATTTAATTCTTAGCCTGGGAAGGGGGCGGAAATGGATAAGTGATCTTTAATTATCACATATACCGAGATATGAGAGCAAACGTGTGCGCACCCAGTAAAATTAGACAACAGAATTGTGCTGCCAGGTTTATCAGATCGTAATCATTAAATCACTAACTATGCTTGTCTCTCTTGACTTTTTTAAACTGAAAATGAGTAAAAATAATTTGGTTTTGTCTTTTGTTAAAACCTAATTCTGTTCTATTTTTGATGGAAACTTTTCTTCCTATAAAGTCCTGTGGGTGCGATAAAATACTGGCAAAACTGGTATGGTTCAAACCAATGAGCCCTAAACTGCGGGGTCTTAACTGGCCTGCAAGTTACAAATGGGGTTATTTTAATAACTAAAAAGCCTCAAAAGAGAGGGAAGAAAAACATGCGGGAAGAGGCAGGCCGCGGAGACGCCTCTGAGCGTCCAGCCGGGATTCCTGAAACCAAGTGTGCTCAGCAGCCGTGCGTGGGGGCGAAACGGTCGCCAAACCGATTCAGCACAGGCAGGGAATTCACTGCGTCCTACCTGGGACATGTTGTTTTGTTCCTTTAGTATGTGGGGGTGTGGGATAGGGTGATGGCTTTTTTTCCTCGGGCAGGACGCTTGGCCACATTAGTCTGCACATTTCACAGATAATTAAATAAGTCACTGTCCCCCTCTAACGACATTGGTATGTGGCGACCCAAAGGGCCCCAGCCCTTCCCCATTCCCCTACCACTCTCATCTCGCTTTCCCTCTTTAGGGAGCGGTCAAAGAGCTAGGAAAAGCAGCCGGGTGGTTCTCAGTTTTAAAATTCTACTTTCTTTCTGTAGGGTCTCAGAGCGCTGGGCCACGACCTAGATGTTAGGAGATGACACGGCGGGGCCCAGGACATAGGGCAAAATGCTACGCCCGCCGTGTACATAAGTCCGCAGGCGCTGACCGCCAGGACAATGCCGACTCTGGAGCTCTTCCGAGGCTAGACAGAGTCCCTATGTCCTCGAAAGGGAGGGAGGTTGAAAGAGAGGAGCTCAGTGTAGGTGATTTCGTTTTATCTGGGGTGTTTGCGGGGTGGGGAGATTCCTCTCGGGACGTGGTTTCTCCAGCCGACCTGTCTCAGCCTCCGTAATCACCCCCATTTAGCGGTTCAGAGAGAGGGAAAGAGGCAAGAGGTTTAAATGACAAAACGAAAAATCTCTCCAGCTAAAAAGTAAAGTAAAATAAAATAAAACGTCCGTTCCCTAAATTTGCAAAGCATTAGAAATGGGGGGAGAAAGCGGAACCAGAATCTCCGGCCTCAGCTCTGCAAGACCTGCGAGTGGACACTTCAGGGGCTCTTGACTCGCTGCTCCTCTGCAGTGGTTGGGAAGGAGCTGGGGAGAAAACCCACCGGACCCGAAATCCAGCTCCAGTTAATTAAAGCCGAGGCAAGGGCCCTGCAGCGCAGGCTAATCCCCGCGCTGCGCCTGCCTACCGGCCCGGAAAAGTCTCTTGGCTGTGCCCAAGGCTGAAATTGGGGCTGGAGTTGATGGGGGCAAGAAGCCTCTTCGAACTTGGACGCCCCGGGCCTCGGGTCTCGGATATTCGCCCCTTAGGCCACAGAGAAATGGGCGGCATTTATGAGACGTCTATCAGCTCTGTGATTAAAAATCCAGCCCTGGGTATTTTTAATCACTTGCCACTCAGACGCCTGCGAACACGCTCGCCCGCCCCTCGCCGCATTGGGGAATTCGGTGCCCAGCGCATGTGGCCGGGGCGGTTTGTTGGTTTTATTTGGGTAGGGGAACCCCATTAGGAATGTTGGGCAGTGTGCGGGCTCAACTGAGTGCATGAAGAGGGGCGCTAGCTCCCCCATCGCCGATCGGGTCCCAGCCTGCCTCCAGAGCTCAGGAGGAAAGAGGGGGCAAAGAGGATGAACCCTGCACTCATGGCCTGACCACTCACCCAGCAACGAGGAGAAAGAGGCCGAGGTCTCAATCGCACTTTGGAAATTCTCCTCCATCTTCAGGCCGTCCAGCATGTTCAGGCAGAGCCGGGAAGACCTGTAGAGGAGAGCAAATGATGCTCCTGGCGTCGGTGCCCGCTGGGACTCGGCGCCCGCAGCCGCCACACTCCTGGGAAAGAAATGAGGGAGTGTCCAGGGCGACCAGAAGGAGCAGGGAGAGTAGAGTCCAGCCAAGAGAAATGTAGGGTGGGAGGAGAGACGAGTCACAGCGAACCGCTCTGACTGATCTGATTTCACTTGAAGTCTACGTGTTATGTACTTAGGCCTCCGCCCCCTAACCCCCACCTCTGTCCCCAGCCCCGGGTTTTCCATCCCGATCCCGACTCCGCCCCAACCTATACGAATGTGGGCCCTAGGGACGTCTCTGCAGGAACATAGCTACTAGCGATGACGGGGATAAAAGGAGTGGCTGCCCTCCCTCGCGCGGCGGGTCTAGGCACGCGGGAAAGCGGGGTCTGCAACTCGCGTCCCGGCCGCCCGGTTGCAGCCCTCACCTGCCCGAGATCGGGGAGGAGCAGGGTAAGCGACCAGGAGTGTCCCGCCAGCTTCTGGACTCCTGGCGTTGCGCTCTACCGGGAGGCGCGCGGGGAGGTCCTCCCGCCGGTCGGCCAGTGCCGGGAATGTCTGCAGGAGCGAAGGAGTCGCCTCGGGGAGGAGCCGCGGCTGGCCGGACTCACTTTTGGATGCATTTCAAATCAACTTTCAGAAACACGCCCGCCCAAGCCGGAGCCTAGGAACCCGCAGCCTTCCTTACCTGCCAGGCGAGCTCTCTCCCAGTGGCTGGAGCAGAGCGAAGTTGCCGCGGAGCGCAGCGGGAAGCTGGGGCCGGGGAAGGCGTAGCCCCCAAGCCGCCCTCGGCTCCGACGCGCCCGAGAGGGAGACCGAGTGAACGCCGGCCCCTGGCTCTGCTCCTCGGCGCGCCCGGGCCGAGTCAGGACGTAGTTGCGAGCGGCTGGCCTTCTCGGGACGTCCCGCCAGCCCGCGTCGCTCCTCGGCGGGAGGGAAGAGCCGGAGGCTTCTCCGAGGCTAGGAGGGAAGGCGGAGGCCCGGGGTCCTGGGTGCAAGTCGGCCCTGCTTCGCTGGCGCGGATCTCGCCTCTTCTGACAGGGGCCGCGGCGCAGCGAGCGCGGAAGAGGGAAGGGGGTGGGGAGCGCTGGGCGGGGGGCTGGCAGCGCGTCCCGTGGCGGGGCCGCGGTGCTCTCTTTCCCAGCCTGGCTTTGCGGTCCACCTCGAGGCCGCGGCCGGGTGCGCTCCTCAGCCGCGGCGACTTCCCGCGCAGGCAAAGTTTCCTCTGGTCCACGTGGAACGGTCACCTCCGGGCGCTCTGGCCCTGTCGCCACTCACACAACCCTGCGCCCCAGCCGGACCTTGGTGGAGATCTTGGTGCTACCTGGACAGCGTTGGGCCCGCGGATTTCCCCGCCGCTCTCCAATCACTGCAAGTGTTTTAGCACTGCAACCCTCTCCCCGGCGGCGAGAAGCGCCTAGAAGCTGTTCGTAGCGTTTCGTTGCCGGCCCCAGCGGCTCCCAGCTCTGCAAACCCTTCTTCATTACCCTGAGCCGTTAAAACTTCCCAGCTGCCCTTGGGCTCAAAACTGGTTCACCGATGGAGTGAGCAGAGGCCACAGCACCCATGGCCAAGACTGGCATGAGGCTCCCGGGAGACACTGGGTAGAATCTGACCTCCAGATGACGAACCTGCAATGACACTGAGCAGGAATTCAGCTAAGGAACTTCTTAGGGGAGCTAAGTATATGCGCGGATGTTAATTCCCTATACCTCCTTACTTCAGCTTATAGTGACCTTTAGCCCCTCTGGGGACAGGAACAAGGTCCTGTCTGTGTATCCCAGGAGTTGAACGTGGCATGTTTAATGGCCCCAAGTGGATACTCAACAAATAAATCATAACACTGCCTAAGATTTATCTAACATTTATTTTGTACCAGCCTTGGTTATGTAGTCAACTCATTCCATCTTCCCAACAACCCTATGAGGTGGAGACAATTATCCCAATTATCACAGATGACAGAAATGGAGCAGCGCTTATGCATTCCGAGTCCCACCATCTGCATGCCACGGAAAAGTCCCATTGAATGGAATTCTCTGCTGGGGCACCCTGGGTTCCTAAACTACAGTGAACTGAACTGAAATTGGCAGGCACTTTGACAGGGAGAACCCTTGCCACAGGCCTGGGAGATGCCACGCATCAAAGGTTTTCTAGTTCCTTCTCCAAGGACAGAACTACTGATTTTTAAACTGCTGGCAGCAAGTTGCTCCGGTGTACTTAGGAGTAGTGACCCCACTCGCCACTCTAAGTTCTGTTTGCTGCAGGCACAAGCCAAACATTGAATATGACTTCAGAGCGAGGAAGGAAAATGGCAAAGAGTTTAATACTTTATATTTGAATGCTGCTTTATACTTCTCAGATACTTTCACATAGGTGATTTTGCTTGATCTTTACAACAAACCCGTGAGGTCGGCAGAACAAATAGTTTTATCCATTGTTTCAGATGAATCTTTGGAGCTTAGCACAGCTGGGAGATTTTTCTGAAGTCCCCCAGATGGCCAGTGGTATGTCTCCTGACCTTTGTCCTTTCTGTCACACCCCTCCCCCATCAAATGAGGTGTACTATACACACACACATATAAATATGTATAAAAGGTATTCTTAGAACATAAGTAACACATAACATAGATGTTAGGCAGGAATAAATTGGAGGAAGGCAAATACAATCATAAGGAATGTTTTTAAGAGCCCAGCAGAGTTTTGGTTTCACTAAAGAATGAATTTATGGCTTGGCGCCTATAGCTCAACAGGCTAAGGCGCCAGCCACGTACACCCAAGGTGGCGGGTTCGAATCCCCAGCCCGGACCCGCCAAACAACAATGACGGCTGCAACCAAAAAATAGCCAGGCGTTGTGGCGGGCGCCTTTGGTCCCAGCTACTTGGGAGGCGGAGGCAGGAGACTTGCTTGAGCCCAGGAGTTGGAGGTTGCTGTGAGCTGTAATGCCACGGCACTCTGCCCAGGGGGACAGCTTGAGGCTCTGTCTCAAAAAAAAAAAAAAAAAAAAGAATGAATTTATGAAATATGTTTAACTAGTTGGTAGGACTGTTCCTTTTAGTGAATATCCTGGAAGTGGGTAAATTTTCATTTGATCCAAGACCCAAATGTTTCAAGCAATTCCTACACCTGGAAGGCAGCCTGATTAGTGCAGATCACACATGATTTTGGTGGGAATGTCTTTCCCCAGCAGGCCACTGGGCACTGGATAGGGATAGGGGCTGTATGTCCTCATCACATTTTAAGCCCTGCCATTTTAGCCAGATATGTGTGTGTGGTTAACAAACACCATTTACTTGGCTGAGAGATGAATGGCATTGTCACTGCAATCTGGAAGGACTGTAGCCAACTGTCAGGGAACAAAGGACTCCAGGTCCATTCCCCGCTCTGCCAGAGTTCAGGAGGCCACCAGTGGCCTTCTCTGGACACCAGTTCCTCTCTCTGAAATAAAGGGGCTATTCTATGTGGCCTGTAGGACCTACCCAGTCTTAAGTTTGTGAAATCAGACTGGCTTTGGCCAGTAGGGTGGGCCATGGACCCAACAGAGCCTTAGAGCATCCTGGCCAATGGCTGTCTAGGAGGAGACTGGCCTGATGTGTCTAGACCTATCAATATGTAACTTGTTTATTTAACCTCTTTCAATGAAATGGGAATCATGAATGCCACTCCTACCCCAAGACCATTTTAATTTGGCCTTAGTCAGCTCAGTGACACAGATGGCTGGGCAGGTGGAAAGTGGATCCCCAAGACCCATCTGTGAAAGTTTCTCCTGACCATACCTCATGGGTTTCCTGTGGTTGAAACTCAAATGCTATTATTTTACTTTTCTGATAAAAGACCTCTGTCCAGAAGCCCCAAAGGAAGAATAAACATTCTCCCTTTTATCAAATTCCTTATGAGAATTAGTGGAAGTAAGGTAATTATGTTTCCAATGGGAACCAAAATTATACTTTTAGAGTTGGGAATCATCTTAAAGCTCATCTCGTTCCGCTACTGGGTTTAAAATGGGTCAAAATTCATTTCCCTGAAGCTCCCACCCTCTGGTCCATTGATTCCTCAGGGTTGGCCATTCAGAAGGTCAAATCTTTTTCCTAAAACCTTTAGATGATATCTTGAAACTAATTTATAGCTTTCATAGGAACGTTATAACCTAATTATAGCCTTAGAATATGGGACGAGGGGAGGGAGAGGGGAAGGGGTAGATGGGTGGAGGGAGGGTAATTAGAGGGGTCACTTCTATGGTTTATCCTATAAGGGTACAAGTGAATCTTTCAAAAAGCAGAGTATGAATGTCTTAACTCAATAACTAAGAAAATGACATGAAGGCTACGTTAACCAGTTTGATGAGAATATTTCAAAATGTATATGAAAACATCACACTGTACCCCGTGATTGCATTAATGTACACAGCTATGATTTAATAAAAAAAATTAAAAAATTAAAAAACCTTTAGATGAGGACAGCACTGCCATCACCAGCATCACCACCTTGTCTGCTCTTCTCTAAATCTGATCCAGTTTTCCATGTCTCATAAATTATGGCATCGAGTTGTTGCAACTTTCCAGTGATAGCGCACTCAGGACCCCTCTTGAGCAGCACAGCACCCATTAATAGGGCCTGAGTTTGTGTTTGTATTCAGTGGTTACTGTTGGCTCACAATGGATATATCACTAACAAAACCTTCTCAATTCTTTTCCACATGGGTGTCTGGTCTGCCACTCTGCATTTGTACAACTGGTGCTTGGATCTAAGTGTAGAAACTTGCATTTATTCCTGCTAAGAGATAGGTGGCTGTTCCAAACATCAGGAATCTTGCAATTTCAAACAGATTCCAAGAGATCCAAGAACTATGTCTTAAGCCTGATGCTTTGCTTTGAGAAGGAAATATGGAGCTTCTGCCAGCTTGTTCTGGAAGCTACCCTCATTGGAGGAAGACGGGCCAGAGCCAATGAAT